TTCTGGGCCCCTCAGCTCAAGAGAGACAAGGTGCTGCTCAGAGCCACAAAGATGATGAAGTGGGTGGAACATCTCCCTTATGACGACAGGATGAAGGAGCTGGGTCTCTTTAGTTTGGAGAAGAGGAGGCTGAGGGGTGACCTCATTAATGTTTATAAATACGTCAAGGGTGAGTGTCAGGAGGACGGATCCAGGCTCTTTTCAGCGATGTCCAATGACAGGACAAGAGGCAATGGGTACAAGCTAGAACATAGGAAGTTCCACAAAAGTATTAGGAAAAACTTTTTCCCTGTGAGGGTGACAGAGCCCTGGCACAGGCTGCCCAGGGAGGGTGTGGAGGCTCCTTCTTTGGAGACGTTCAAAACCTGCCTGGACATGTACCTGTGCGATCTACTGTAGGTGATCCTGCTCTGGCGGGGGGGCTGGATTACATGATCTTTTGATGTTCCTTCCAAACCCTAACTTTCTGTGATTCTGTGCAGAGAAGCAGCTGTCAAACCTAGGACAGCTGCCTGACAATTAAAAGGCAGTGTATAATTTGAACACACGTGTAAGGATGTTTTCCTCAACTAAGTTAGGAGAAGTAATTCTGGATTGTAACATCAACTTCTGGACTTTAATGTCAATTTGACTTCTGTGACTGAGAATATAAGTTCTACTATGTAGATTTAATATGTTAACTCTTTATTTCTCTTCCACACATGCCTTAGTGCTGTCAGGAATGGTACTTCAAGAGGTAGTCCTCTAGTACTATGTGTGTACAGATCAAAAAGAGGTAATAACTGGAAGCTCCTAACTATGCCCTGGCCAGTAGGATTCATTTTTGCTGTAGATGGATGGTTGATTGGAATTAAACATAATAGATCAGATGATTCAGTTTTCAATTTATTGATGGATTTACATGCCTACCCTGTCAGGCATGAGATACTTACCTCTGTGACACATAGGGATCAAGGGTCCCATTAGCCTTTTTTCAGGATCAAGCCTGAATTTCTACGTTCAGGGAGAGCCACGTGCCAGGAATCTGTGTAGGGCATCTATCTTTTATGTTTTTCTGTGCCTAACCCCTACAGCTCTTAACAACGCGCAGATGGAGAATGGCTGATCGATGCTCTGCTTCAAGAAGGCAGGACCAGTGTTCCTGAAATTTGCAGCCATGCTTTTGTGGTAAAAGAACACACACAAATTATAATCCACAGCTACGGAATATTTTTGGATTCCTCGCTGATTCTGAGCTCTCCCATGAAAACATCTGCTAACAACATTTTTAATAATCTCCATTTGGCAAGGTAACTCTATCCCATCCTGGCAGACAATGACTGGGCCTCAGTTATTCATGTCTTCCTCACCTCCTGGCTGGGCTGGGAAATGTGATATGTTTTGGGCACAAACCCTTTAGCATTTAGGAAGTTCCAAGTACACCAGAACTCTGCAGTGTATCGCATCAACAACACATGCTGGTGTGAACACATAAAAACCTTTCTAATGGTCTCTATTTGAGTTTCATGCAGGATCAAGGCTTCTGCCTTTGTTTTCAAAGAACTTTGTGGCTTGGACCAGAACATTTAAAAGATTGTCTACGTTTCTGGGAGAGAAACCACAGTTAATGCAATGAAGCTTGCTGAAATAACAGGATAGTTCATCCGGACAGGAGAGATGAAACTTTCTCAGAGGTTAACGTGAGATTCTGGAGTGAATTCCCCCAGGAATCACAGATCAGCACAAGCCTTCACCAACTTCTACTCCCACTGCAAAGCACATTCTTTTGGTTTTGTCTCTCCTGGTACAAATATACAGCAAAAATAAAAATAAAACAGGACACTTGTTCCCCTAGGGAGAGAAAGAGAACAAACACCACCTGAGAGATGTTGTATCATTTGGAAGGCACTCAGATAATGTGGATGACACTGAGATACAGAAACTTAGCATAAAAGAGGTAGAATAGACCTAGTGTAAATTTACATGAAATCATGTTGCCACAGGCAGCCACACCCTTGCAACTCATGTGAGGTTCCCAATCTGAGCTCATGCAGACCACAGAACAGCTATAAATTCTAAGTAAGTCCATCTAGTCAAGAAAAAAAAGTTCCACCAACAGCATTATTTGGAGTCGACTCTCTGCTCTTACAAAGACTGAAGCTTGGCCCAGTCAAGACATTCATGGCATCTCTGCCCAGCTCTGCGAAATCTGTTGGGACTTATGCATCTTTGAGACTTCTCTCTCTCAAACTTGGCTGAAAGTGGTCACTTCTGGTTCTAAATATCTAAAGGAGGCAAGAGACAAAGGGATGCTGACTACACAAACTCTGCATCAGCAATTATGCTAACTAAAAGTTCTACATAAAAAAATGACAATGTTTTGTAAAGCCAGCTTTATTTGAATAGGAAAATAGTATAGAAAAATAAAGGGTTCCTGTAAACACAAGATAAAATAATCTAACATTTCACTGGAAGCTGAAACCTTGTGATAACAAACCTACTGAACACATAGTTAACAAGTAAACCACCAACAGGTGAACATTTAAATGTAAACTGTGCTTTTGGTAATTTCAGAAATAACCATCAAGGACTAGCATTGCGGCATGATTTTTGTTATAAATAACCCGTCAACAGTTTTTTAGAGAAAATGGAACTGTTTCTCAAAATATGTCTCTATCTATAAAACCAGTAGAAATCTAAGACCAATACCACAGTGTTAGATCCAGATGGGTAAAAAACGTAAACTGCTTAAGAATGCTAATAAATAACTCTATTAAAAATATACCTATATTAAAAATGTTTCATTTAAATGCTGTTCTAGCCAGAAGTTAAATCTTTAAACATGGTGCTTACAGTATACAAACATAGAGGTTTTCAGACATCACTATTGGTATATTAGAGGCTGGCTGAGTTAAGAACCTTATTGTTAGAGGTGCTATCCAGTCATGCAGATTTGTGGTATTTCTGAGCAATGCCATAGGGAACGTGAGCAGCTATGGTGCCTAACTTCTGCGCTCCTTCAACATGAAACATCTGGTCATCAAAGAAAATGTGAGGGCGGATTTTCACCAGGACAGGTCCTTTAGGAGCTCCTGCTAGGAAAAGTGCCTCATCAATCTCCAGACCCCAGCTACGAAGAGTCTTCAGCACTCTGGCTCCAGAGCTCGCTGCACTTCTGGCTGTGACCAGGAAGGTCCTTATGGGACAATTTAATCGCTCGTTTTTTGCATAGAACTTCTTCTGGAGTTTCCCTAGGTCTTCAAGAAAACCTTTCAGAGGACCCTGTGAAATACAACAAGCACATTTAATATTTGTTCACAGCTCCCAAAATCATTCTATTGCTTTCTTCCAGATCGCCAGTTAAAGCTAGGATTCCTTCCCTAATGCTGTGCTACTCAGCAGATTCTCTATATAATGTGTACAAATGCATGTGCACCCTCACTAGGAATTCAAAAATTGGAAAAAAGTTAAAACTGTAATCCTACATGGTGTGATCAGTAGGAAACTGATTTCTCACTAAGGCTTACAAGTTCTCTTACAATACAAAGTTGTAAATATAGTCTTTACTAAAATGTTCTTTAAAAACTCTTAACTCTTTTTATTATGAACAATGAGCTGCAGATTTTTTCTTCTGTGCAAAAATCAATAAGAAACCTAGTTACATAGATGTCACTAACTCTTTCCAGATTAATGATATTAGAATTACACTGTGATCAAAAGAAGTAAAATGACAGTTTGGGTCAAACTGCAATATACTTCCATGTATCAAACTTTATTCTGAATTCGTACCATTTTTAACAGTAGCAGAATTAGTCTTTCAGTTTAAGCTAATAGTAAAATATTTGTGTTTTTTAGAGAAATGGCATAGTCCTGCTTGGGAATAAGCACAGATATTACCCTGTTTCAATAACCAGAATATCCTAGTGTTAAAAATTAAAATATCTACACAATCAGATTTTAAAAAATTACATAATCAAAGAAATCAGTAGTAGCCTTTCTTTTTTCTAATGATACAATTAAGATACAACTGTAAGCCACTGTCTTATAGATTCAGTTCTCAGTGAGGTAGGAGATCTAGTAAAAGGTCTGCAACAGTGGGCTCTTTTATGTCCAATGTGCATTTTAAAGATTATCCTTGAAAAAAAAAAAACTAAAATAAATAAACCAGCTCCCACAAAGAACACATGCACACTGGAAAAATACAGCAGCAGTGAAAATTAACAAGTGCTTTGAAAATTCACTGATTTGAAGTACAAACCTGTGCAAGAGGCTTATTTTCATTCATTTGCTCATGTTCAAAAAATCGGTCTAATCCTTGCTCTTTGACAATCTGTTCTGATTCGTCAGAAAAGAGAACTGCATCCCCATCGAATGCCACCCTCAACTGTGTATCTGAGTAAGCAACATCTTTGTTGGCAGTGAACATCGTAGCTGATGCGATGCCTGAAAATGGATCAGAGAACCTCAGTTAGCATGTCCTGCAAAGTCAGTCATCAAACTTTCAGCAGTTCGCTTCCAACAACTTTACTTATGGTGACCTCTCTATATGGTAGGCAAAAATGATCAAATGCTAATTTGTAATGGCCATTCCATAACCTGTATGTATGGAAGCTGCCCCACTAAGTCAGTTTTAGGCACGATTCCTTCCACTTCCATGCAATACACAGAAACAGTACTCCGGGTGTAACAAAGTAAGAAATTCCAGCACTGAACTATTTGCTGGTTTTTAACTCCTTACATACCACAGAAATTGTTTTTTGTAAGTCATATCAAAGAGAAGTTGAACAGAGGTGAGTAGGTGTGTATGGGAGTTTATTTCTTGCAGCTTGAGAGAAGACAGAAAGGCGTTGTCATCATAAGGCTGAAGGGTCAGAGAGGAACAATAAAGAGAAATAACCTGAGTTCACAGAATCATAGAATGGTTTGGGCTGGAAGAGACCTTAAAGGATCACCTAGTTCCAAGCCCCCTGCCACAGGCAGGGACACCTCCCACTAGATCAGGTTGCTCAAAGCCTCATCCAACTTGGCCTTGAACGCTTCCAGGGAGAGAGGAATCCACAACTTCCCTGGGACCCCTGTTCCAGTGCCTCGACACCCTCACACTGAAGAATTTCTTCCTCATATCTAATCTAAATCTACTCTTTTACAGCTTCAAGATGTTACCCCTTGTCCTATCACTACACTGCCTGATAAAGAGTCCCTCCCCTTCTTCCCTGTAGACCCTCTTTAGGTACTGGAAGGTCCCCCTGGAGCCTGAACAACTCTCTCAGCCTGTCCTCATATGGGAGGATATTTACTTGATTAGGTAAAAATAAGTAATAAGTTTGCACCATATAAAGTTGCCACTTTCTGCATTTGACAAACCAGCTCTCTTGCTGCGAAAGACACAAAATACACTCATGTCTTAGCGAGGTCAATGGAGAGATAACTAAAGAAAGTCAATTCAAACCTGCTTCTATAGCCTCTTGCACTTTTTCAGAGTCTGCTGAGAGGTATAAGTTGGTAAGATACGCAGTCAGGTAACCAATAGGGCTTTTTCCTCCCGTCATACAGAAACGTTCAATTGTTAAGCCTAAAGCGAGAAGAGTACAACAAAGTGTGACTCTGCCTTGATACAATAAACCTGTAAAAGGAACCTATGAAAAGGTACAGTAGCCTACAGCACACAGTAAACTTAAAGAAAAATATGTAATTTCAACAAGTTAGACAATTTAAGCTGACTACGATGTTTGATCAGCCCTTCTTACTAGAGAATAAAAAAAAAAATCCCTCTATGACAGCAGAATAACTGCTATGAAGGTATATGTATAGAGGGTGTAAATACAAAACAACAAAAAGTTTAAGGACTTCTTCTCAAACATTAAGATTCACACCTGACAAGATAAATCTAAAGCTTTGGACCACATTTTGTTTAACATTGTCTCATTTATGCTGCCACCGCAAAATAAATATAGTCCTCTGAGAAATGAGCAGCAGTATTAAAGAAGCTGTTTTTACCAAGGCCAGAACAGGAAAATTTGATTCACTTTATTATGTCATAGCAAAGAGTTCTACAAGGTAGTATTTATTTTACTTACCATAGTGATTGATGCTGTTTATCAGTCTCACTCCCACCTGGGCATGGTTATTAGTCATCAGAACAATATCAAATCGTTCTTCATCATCAGGGTACAACTCAAGAAGACGGGCATTGACATGCTCCAGCGCCTGCAGGTTACAAATGTGGAAGTCAACAGACAAGTGGAATGTGCCTCAGTGCTTAATCACTGTGGCTTTAGTGATAGGACTGTCTTGAAGGAGCATGTGAAATACCTGATAGGTGAACTTGCTGAACTTGTTTTATTCCTTTCTGCTCTGCTGCTCCCAGCAACCATTTGACTGGGTTCATTTGAAAGGAAGGAAATAAACGTCTTTTGCTGAGCTACAGAATTTTTCATCCTTTATCTTGAGACACTATAATCATCCAGAATAAATCAATGCCTTGCTGAACATTATCATGATCCCTAGTAATCTTTTCCTTTTTTCCGTTGTCCACTTGAAACTTGGACTTGAATTTGCTTGCCCACTTGAAAAATGTTCTTGTGAAATCAAGGAGAAAGTGTAAAGGAATTTATATGTGCAACTCTGTGGTTTACACATACAGATGTGAATATGGGCCACATACTTAAGCAAACATTTACTGACACAGTTCACATGTTCAGCTGTCAAAGACTGCCCTTAAGTAATAAGTATAAAAATCATATCCTGTCAAATATGATTATCTTGGTGACTTCTAACTGCACTGCTGAATGAGGCAGACTTTGATTGAGCTGAGACTTCTGTAAAGATATTGGGCCAGCATGTTATAACCACAGTTTGGCGTTCTTATTTCTTTGACCTGTCATCTTCTTTTCTCTCTCTCTATCCAAATGTTCTCTCATCTTATTTAGAATCCACAGATCTCTGCTTTGGGATCTCAGCCCTTGGATGGAATTCTTTGAGATTATGGCAATGAAGTCAACAATGAATCATCAAATGAATGCAAGATGGGGCGATTTCCATTAAGGGGGCTTTAAAAAGTCAGGTCAGTTGTTAAGAATTAAAACATAGGTTTCGTAATTAAATCCTAGAAATCTGACAACAAAAAGCACCACTATGTCGTATGGCAGCATGTTTGGGAAAACGCTAAGCAAGAACCTGGCAAGAGGCCTAGGAAAAAATCTTAGTATGTGGCCATAGCCCATTTCTACTGCTAACACTCTATGACACTGGGAATTTCTTAAACTATTGGAGAACAAGGGAGAGTGGAGGAAGGGATGCCGTTTTTTGCCCAGTGCCTGTACACTTTGCAGCCCAAGATGATCCTGGCCTGTGATTAAGATTTTTAAGTGCTACAAGCATGAGATCTAATATGGTTAAGTTAGTACCTCAAAGATTTCAATAAAGGAATCCAATCAAAAATAGATTGCTTCTTTTCATCTTGTCTCCAAGCAGAAAGTATCACCCAACAAACCCACAATAAACCAGTGGTTCCCGTGACTAAGCGATTTATGGATCTCTTAAAAAATATAAAGGATCCAAATGCAAATAGCATAGTGGAAAGGAACAGGTGCATTTAGCTGGGCATAGTTAACAGCTCTGACTTTCAAAGTGAAAAACTCATATCTTGCTCATATTTAAAGTGAATTTAACACTGAACTCTAATGTCTCTTGTAACCTGTGCTAGCAAGGCTGCAGTCTCTAGCTGCAACAGTTAGGAAAAGATGCAGAAAATTTGCTAGTCAGCTTAGCGTCACTGATGTACAAACAAATTGGTTTATGACCACGCTTTTATGTTAAAAACTGCTTTACAGTGATTGTGTTACTAATGCTATTAGCAGCTATCTGTTATATTTACAGCAGTGTGGCTACTGACCTAAGTAATTATTCCACTCTATTTTCAAAAAGTGTTCAATGCAGGAGACATTTTCAACTCCCAAGACTAAAACTGAACTAACAAAAATCTACTTTTAAACTCCAGTGTAAGCGTTCTGCCATAAGTCTGCTGTCCGCAAGTATGACTGCTAATTATGATTTAATAAATTTTCTAAAATTGCTGCACTAGAACTTATCAAGTAATTCCCAAGGGATGTAAAACGGACTCTGCAGAGACCACGTTTTCAAGAAAGTCTCACTAAAATCTGACTTCCTCAAAACCATATATATTTTTAATTGCTGTGGGGTTTTTGTGTAGGTGTTTTTTTTGTAATCTCACTTGCTTTCTATGGTGCAGGCTGTTTACCTTGGCCATTTCTCTTATCTGGTGCAATGAAAGCAAAACATTCCATTTCACCTCTGCTAAAATCCCACCTAGGGGGTCTACTTCTTTTGCTAGTCTCTCAAGAACAATTTCTAGGGTGAAAACAAAAGGAAAAACTACAGCTAACAAAAAAAAATTATGAATAAAATAATTCAAATAATATCGTTGTCTTTAATCATGGTAGTGCATACGTGAGATATAAAAATGGAATGAGGAACTAATTTTTTTTTTTCTTTAGGAGGGGGAGGCTGCAACGAACAATTTGGGGTTTTGCCTTAA